CTTCAAGACATGCTCCCAGAGGCCCCAAGAAAGAGTGTCCCAGACGCTTTCAATCTGCCAAAAATCAGTTGGTGTTCCAACTTCGTTTGGGTTTTACGTGCTTTCCCTTTCGATAGCTTTGGAAGCGCTTTGGAAGGCCCCAAGACATCCCACAGCGTCCATAGAAAGTCCGACAGCTGCCCCAAATATTGCCTAACAGGGCCTGCGCAAGGGGCCATAGAGCCCCAAGACGGCCCAGTAGAGCATACACTTGTTCCAAGAAGGCTAACAAAGAGCCGCAAGATCTGGCAAGACCGCCCAAGAGTTCCCAACCACCTTCAAGAGGCCAACCTGCTCTTCGATCTCAACCCCTAGTAGATCCCCCCTTTTTCTTCATATCCTGATGCCTGCTTCACGTGCTCCGCCACCTGGCGTGACAGCCCGTGCATGATGCTTGAAGTCTGCTTTCTCACCGTCCTCCGTCGTTCCCCGTTCCTTTTCTTCTGCATGTGCTCCGCCAGTCAGCGTGACAGCGCGTGCATTCTGCTTCAAGGCAGCTCACGCGGCCCGTTTCAAACTTCGCCAGGGAAACATCGGTCAAGCCTCTCAGGGAACATCGCTCGAATCGAGAGGAGGACGGTGACGAGGAGGGCGGGATGGAGGACGATGGCAGGAGGTTGTCAGTGTTCTTTGGTCGGAGGTTTCTCGGTCCCGGGCGAGTGCGAGGAGACGCAAGATGACGAGGGGGGATGCAGAGACGGAGGTGGCGCTAAACCACCCTCTTGGCCGCTCTTCACAGCGCCTAGCATTCCCTGCCGATCCTGCAGACAGCATGTCTGGAGTCGACTAGAACCGAAGCGCTCGAGTAGCGCGCGCGTTGTTTCTTGTGTGCATGCATACCAACACATACACGATTTTGCTTTATATGTATAGGGAGGTCGAGCTATACATACATACATACATACATACATACATACATACATACATACATACATACATACATACATACATACATACATACATACATACATATATACATACATACATACATACATACACATATATACATATATATATGTATATCTATATATATATATATATAGACGTGTGTGTGTGCGTGTGTGTATCATGTGTTTCCCTGCTTCCTTGCTTCCCCTTTCTGCGTGAACCCGAGCGGCCGCCTCTCTCGCGTCTTCGCGGCTTTGAGACTGCTCCCCCCGCGTGCCAACGTTGTGGGCCAAGCTTCAAGGCGAAGCGGGGCGAGCCTTCAACATCTGACACATCTATGCACTCCGCATTGCGTGATGCAAGGGGGGGGGGGGGGGCATTCCACCAGACGGGCAGGTCTAGACCCCCCCCCCCGGACCAGCCATGAACAGGCGGCCTCTTGCCCAGACCCCCATGGAGCCCTCCATGACCGTTCAGATCGGACCCCCCCAAATCTTACCCCCCACCCCCGCTTTAGAACGGACTGTGGAGTAGGCGTGTATACTGTTCTACGACGAACCCTCAGACCGAATCACGCACAAGGGGTAGCTGCGGAGCGCGGCACGGCACGCTGAAAATATTGTGCCAAGCGCAGTGGCCTGACCTCATGGCCTCAACTGTAGTTGACCGTAGCTCACTCTGGAACTGTTTCGCAGAGGGGCAGTCGACAACATGTTGAGGAAGAGGATTAAGAACACACACCATGCCAAACATCGATGTAAGCATCTCTAATATGGAAAAGTCAAGACATCAGATCTCCAGAGTTACAGCTCCTTGAACTCAGCATCGGCCCTTGGTCGCGATGCGGTGTCCTGCCCGACTCCCCGCGCAGTCGGGCAGAATCCTCGGAGGAATCGGGCCCAGTCCAGCCCAGTAGCCGCTGGATCGGGTTTGATCTGCCCGTGTAGTCCTCGCGAGGGCTCTCACAGCTCCCAGCGGCCGCGGGGGCGCCCCGGGAGGCCCAGAGAAGCCCGACCTCGATCCTCGAAAGCCCGACCTCGGCCCCCGCGGCGCGTGCAGAATTCTGGACCCCCATCGCCCACTGGGGCGCAGAAAGAGAGTCGTGGGCCCGCACAGGGGGCGGGCGCCCCAGTCGATCTAGAAGTCACGATTTCTTTCATTCGGGGACTGCCCATCGCGAGTTTCTTTGTTTTCCTATGGCTCCTCCTCCTCCTCCTCCTCCTCCTCATCAGCATCATCATCATCATCCTCATCATCCTTAAGCCACGATTTTTCTTATTCAGAGGCTGCCCATCGCGAGCTTCGTCGTTTTCCTATGACTCCCCCTTTGGCCCGAGCCCCCTCCATTCCGGGACCCGTTTCGATTCGATCGATCCGGTCTGGCGCCGATCAGATCGAGTCTGCAAGTTTACAGCCTACAGATCCGGCCCATTTTGACGACCTGGCTCAAAAACAAACGTTTCGATTCGATTTTGATCCGGCGTCCCGTTTGCGACTTCCGAACCGATGCGGCGATCGCCGTCTTGGCCCCGATTCCAAAGGATTCCACGGGATTGCGATTCCCATCTGGCTTTTTTCCCAACCATCCTGTGGTGTTGGGTCCTCGTTTTGAAGAGACGGTGGCCCGCGTCTCCCCTCCTCTCCTCCTCCTCCCCCCTCCTCCCTGCGTTTCACCCACCCAGTGCAGCGCTTCGTGGCTCCATAGGGAGCTCCACCTCAGGCGCCAGTGGCTGCGTTCGCATGGTGGCCCCGCCCCATTTTGGCGCACCCCTCACGAGGATCGTGGCCCCATAGGGAGCTCCACCGAAGGCCCCAGTGGCAGCGTTCACATGTGGGCCACGCCCCATTTCGGCACACCCCTCACGAGGATCGTGGCCCCATTGGGAGCTCCACCGAAGGCCCCAGTGGCTGCGTTCGCAGGTGGGCCATGCCCCATTTTGGCGCACCCCTCACGAGGATCGTGGCCCCATAGGGAGCTCCACCGAAGGCCCCCGTGGCAGCGTTCGCATGCGGCCCCGCCCATTTTGGCGCACCCCTCACGAGGATCGTGGCCCCATAGGGAGCTCCACCGAAGGCCCCAGTGGCAGCGTTCGCATGGCGGCCCCGCCCCATTTTGGCGCACCCCTCACGAGGATCGTGGCCCCATAGGGAGCTCCACCGAAGGCCCCAGTGGCAGCGTTCGCATGGCGGCCCCGCCCCATTTCGGCGCACCCCTCACGAGGATCGTGGCTCCATAGGGAGCTCCACCGCAGGCGCCAGTGGCAGCGTTCGCATGGCGGCCCGGGGCCATTTCGGCACACCCCTCACGAGGATCGTGGCCCCATAGGGAGCTCCACCGAAGGCCCCAGTGGCAGCGTTCGCATGGCGGCCCCGGGCCATTTCGGCACACCCCTCACGAGGATCGTGGCCCCATAAGGGAGCTCCACCGAAGGCCCCCAGTGGCAGCGTTCGCATGGCGGCCCCGGGCCATTTCGGGACACCCCTCACGTGGATCGTGGCCCCATAGGGAGCTCCATCGAAGGCCCCAGTGGCAGGGTTCGCATGGCGGCCTCGGGCCATTTCGGCACACCCCTCACGAGGATCGTGGCCCCATAGGGAGCTCCATCGAAGGGTTCGCATGGCGGCCTCGGGCCATTTCGGCACACCCCTCACGAGGATCGTGGCCCCATAGGGAGCTCCACCGAAGGCCCCCAGTGGCAGGGTTCGCATGGCGGCCTCGGGCCATTTCGGCACACCCCTCATGAGGATCGTGGCCCCATAGGAGCTCCACCGAAGGCGCCAATGGCAGTCTTCCTCATGGCTCTCAGAACCCTTTCCTTCTTCTGCTCTTCGGTCAGGGGGACGCCGTCCTCGCGGTCGTCGGCGCCCGCGAAGACGGCCACAAACGTGTCCCTGAGCATGTCGGGCTCCGGCGGGAAGCCGTGGCCACATAGGGAGCGCGGGCGAAGATGGTATTCACAATTGCTGTATCCACAATTGCGTATGGTTGGGCCCTTCGCCAGGCTAATTTTGATAGTGGTCTTCATTGCTCCACTCCGAACGCCCGAGACGAGGCTGGAGCTCTACGACAACGACCGCCTCAGCGGGGGCCAGGTGCACTCTCTCCCGCGGGGTTCGCTGGTCGTTGGCATCGGCATGCCCAGGCCTGGCGTCGCCGAGGTCCTCGTCCCGAGCGCGGAGACTTTTGCGAGGATCGTACAACAAAAAACGCATAGACATATACTTTCGACAGTATTCGCGGATCTTTTGGAACTGCGTTTGAGCCCCATCGGCGCCGCCTTTGGCGCCGTCCGCGCACAAGGGAGGGGGTTCAGTCAAGATCCAAGAAATCCGCGAGGACCTCCAACAGTTGATGGTTATGCAAGGCTTTTTGGTGTCTCCTGAGGACGTACTTTGCGAACTACCGGTTCCCGGCGGAGGAAGACGCCATGCGATGGATGCGGCGTCTTCCCGCGTTGGCGCACAAGGAAGACCGCCGCGAAGAGAAGGGTTTCTGCAGGGAGAGCCGCCCTATTCTTTTCAGCAGTTTTCGGCCTCAGCTGGCTTTTTCGGTAGCATGCCATGGGAGCTTGTTATACCCTTTTGATTCCGTCTGTAGCGTCGACCAGCGTCGGTTCGTGTCTGGGAGTCGATGAGATAGCGCCGATTTGACGTCGGCTAGCGTCGCCTTAGCGTCGCCTTAGCGTCGATCAGCGTCGACTAGCGTCGATTCGCAAGCGCCGAGAAGATGGTACGGGAGGCTCCCGGTGAGTTGCCAGCGAAGGCTGCCGGGGCAAACTTGCAACAGACCCTGCTCAGGATGCCGGGAGGGAGTCCTCCCTGGGTCCAGGGCCCGCGCCCCTGCGCGCTCTGCTCCTTACTGTTGGGGGGGAACTCGGGTTTGCCGACGTTTTTCTGACGAGCGCGTCCTGATTCTGGCGGCCCAATGTTCGTGGGATGTTTGCAGCGGGAGCTCGCGTCGAATTTCAGAATGGGTCTCGTCATTCTTATGATGGCCCCGTCAGGCCAACCCGAGTCCCCCGTACCCGAGTCTCACGTCTGCCCGATAATGGCGCGAGGAGGACTCCGCGGAGATGTCCCAGATCACGGTGCCCACCTTCAGGGTGCTCGCTCCGGAGGATCCAGCGAAGGAACAGGTACCCATACACTGCTACCCTCCGCCCGTTTTCCCCTGGTGGGGCCTCCTCGGAGGCCCTCGTCGCCACCGCTGGATTCGCCTCGAAAATGTTGTCAGAACGCACCCTGGGACAGGTCCGGGGAGTAGCGGAGTCGGTACCCTTTGGTCTTCCCCAGGATGGCGCGGACGACGCCAAGGCGCTCGTCGTGACCCAGAGTCGAGACCCCCGCAGCGCCGTGCTGGGCCACCTTGCCGCTGGAGCCCTCATCGGGCTCGCAGACATCGTGGGCACCCGGGCGCAGCTGGGACGGATAGCCCTGGTGGGTCCCGAGAGTTTCAGTGGCGCCTGGGTCAGCGTCCTGCGCCTCGACGGGAGGCCCCGACTGGAGATCGAAGGGAAATCGTGGCCCGCGCGGATTTCTTGCTTGGGTCAGTGCTGGACCCCCTCCCCTGACGTCCAGGGGCCCAGGGGCGGCGCCGGAGGTGCCGCCGAGTGGTGGGGGGGTCCAGTGCCGACCCAAGATAACCGCGCGGGCCTCCCAAAATGTGAGTGTGTGTGTGTGTGTTCTGTCGTGCCATGTTGCTCTGAAGGTGCCCCCAGCTTCTCGCGCCGGCTTGGAGCCCCTGGGGCCCGCTGGGCCTCGCGGGGGATGATCTGGAGGCCACTCAGGCCCCTCTTCAGAAGCTGAGGCCACCGTCTGGTCAGGGACACTTCTGGCAGCATCCGCGGGGTGGCCCTGCTCTTGCAGCATCCGATGCTTGTGCCGCTCCCTGTTCTTCCGGAGGCCATTGCTGGAACGCGTACTGGAAGAGACGGAGAACATGCAGCTCGAGGCCAAACTCAAGGCCGAGACGGCTCGCATTGCCGCCCGCATCGCCGCGGGCGACAACCAGGAGCCTCCTCCCAGGAGGAGAAGCTCGGTGGGTTCCGCGTGGTCCGCCCTCGGACACCGAGGGACGTCCACTAATCCTAGGTCGGGCGTGTCCCCCCACAGGCGGATTTTTTGGGCGAAACATAGAGAGAATAGTCAAACCAATCTTCCAAACATGATCACATTTTGTTAAACAAATTTTCGTCCCCATCTATTTTTTACTATTTCGGAGTATCCTGGAGAGGGGCAGGCCCGACTCCATCACTGCGAGGGGCTCGCAGAGTGGGTGCTGCTCCCCACACGCGTGGGGCCCGCAGCGCGCGCTGCCCCACACTGCGCGCACATGCGCCAACATCGGGCACGAGGTGGCTGGTGTTAAAGTCGGGCCTGTCCCTACACAGGGGAAATCTTTGAAGTTAGTCCAACCATAGTCTGGGGACGGCTTTATGATCATTGTTGAACACTTATTAATCGCTTCGCTCATTCCGCCGGCCCTCGAGCGCTCTATGGGGCCTCTTTGAAGCCTCTTGGGGGCCTCTTTGGGGCCTCCTAGGGGCCTCTTGGGGGCCTCTTGGGGGTCTCTTGGGGCTCCTTGGCGGCGTCTTGGGCCGGCTTTATGATCATTGTTGGACAATTATTTGAATACTCTTGGGGGTATTTGTATTTTTCGTCCAAAGTCCGCCTGTAGGAGGACATGCCCGACCTAAGGATAGTTGACGTTGCCCGAGGACGAGCTCAGCTGCCGCACTTTGGCGAGGCGGCGGAGGAGGAGCTGGAAGACGTGGACAGACCGAGGAGAAAATGCGTACCGAGGTCAGCCCTCGCCCCCGTTGGGCCTGCTGGGTGGCCCTCGTGGCCACCGTCAGGAATGCGCCTCGGAAGGATGGTCCGAGCGCCTCTCGAGGCGGATCTGGGGAGCGGTGGCATCGGCATCCTTCCCAGGCCCCCAGCGTCCTGAGTTTTTCGTGACGTCGACCCCCAGAGGTTTCGACCTATGCCTCGGGACCGGTGTGTCATCCTGAGTCGTCTTTTGACGGTCCTGAGGCCGGGTTGGGCCCCCCAGAGGCAGAGCAGGATGAAAAGCGCCTCCCGTCGTGATTTTTGGTCAGTGCTCGAGGGGGTCGTGGGCTCTGTGTCCCCAGGACATGCCTCCGCCGGGCCCGTCAAACAAGGTGCTCCCGGCCAAGATGGCGCAGAGGGCCACGGTCACGGGCGGCTGGCGCTCGTTCACCGACCCGATCTGGAAGCGGCAGGTCTCCGCCACGCGCGGAGGGGGGTGGGGGGGCGGGGGGAGGGCTCCTCAGAAGCACCCCTTGCTTCTTGGGAGGCGCGGGCCTTGTCTAGAGATGTAAGGCCGGCGCCTGCTGAGAAGCAGCCTCCTGCTAAGAAGCCCTCCTCCCTCCCTCCACCCCCCTTGTGCGCACCGCCAGAGGTCTTCGTCGCCCCCCTGGGGGGCCGAGCCACCTGGGGCATCAGCGAGGTGTTGCAGACAGGCGGCCTGGACGACCTGCTGCTGGCCCGCTGCTGGGAGGCGTGCGTGGTGGACCCCCTCGCCGTGGAGGCCACGCGGTCCATCATCAGCATGATCAGCAGCATAATCATCATGATCATACTCAGCATCAGCATCATCATCATCATCATCATCAGCAGCAGCATCATCAACATCATCATCATCATCGTCATCATCATCACCATCATCATAGTAATCAGCATCGTCTTCATCAGTATCACCACCATCATCATCATCATCATCATCATCATCATCATCATCAGCATCATCATCATCGTCATAATCATCCTGATCAGTACCATCATCACTATCATCAGCATCATCATCACAATCATCGTCATCATCATAATCCGCATTACCAGCAGCATCATCAGCATCAACGTCATCAGCATCATCACCTCCATCAAAATAACCATCATCATGAGCATCATCATCGCTATCATCATCACCATCATCGTCGTCGCCACCATAATCGTCAATCTTACTGAGAGCGTCACCATCATCATAAGTAGCATCGCCATCATCATAATCATGTTGTCCATCGCCATGTCATGGTCGCCGTCATCATCACCATCATACTCAGCAGCAGCATCATCAGCATCATCACCTCGGAGGCTATGAAAGATCCCACCTGGGCTTTCGAGATATTCGCCGACCCTAGCCTGAGCGGCGAGCCGATCTTCAGGTACGAGAAGGGGCGACTGATTGTCGTCCAGGTCTTCGACATGAAGACGTTTGTTGCGCACGTCGTGCTGCCCCCGCCCGAAGACGGCGGCGATGCGGCCACCGGGTATGCGACGTACCGGATGCGCGACGGCCGGCCTCTCCTGCGATCCCTGATGCAGCCGTCCGAGGTCGGCGGCCCGCGCAACGGGCGGGGCACAGTTTGATCGGACAGGGCGCGGTCCCCCAGGGTTTTTTCCTCGTTTGTGGGCTTGTCCCCTGGTGCCATGTTCTCACGGCCAGTGGAGTTGACCTCTGCCAGAAGAGGAACCGGAGGCAAGTCGCTCGTCCGAAAGGTGCGCTCTGCGCGTGCTTGCTTCAGGAAAATGCCCACCCACACCGGGTCCTCGAGAGATAACGGGGTACACACAAATGCCCACACATCCGTAGAAGTGAATACATGGTTCGGAGATGGTTGCTCAAACTCCTGATCTATATACTGGGTCCAGAGTCCGAATGCTTGCTCAAGAGGTTTTACGCCATTCCGCAGACCCGCAGACGGGGAGATGTGCGGCTTCCGTTTTCGTATGTCTTGTTTGGCAATTCCAGACGTGCTGCCTTCGTGCAGTTGTTGATGATTTGTCTTCCTCTTCCTCCGCATCTGTCGGGCGGTCCCCTCGGTTGCCTCTTGGAGGTCTAGGGGGCAGGCCTCTCGCAGCTTTTTCGAGGGTCCTGGAGGCTTTGGGGGTTGGGGAGGCCTCCGGGGGAGTTTGGGGGGGCCTCTTGGAGGGTCTTGGAGGCAATCTTGTGGCGGAAGGCCCCAGGGGTGCGAGTTGGGGCCCCTATGAGCCCTCTTGACTGCTTGTTTGCTGTCTCGTGGGCTTCTGGAAGGCCGTCTTGAAGGCCGCACCCGGGCCCTCTGGAAGGCCTGCGGTGGGGGGGGCGGTCTGGTGAGCCTCCCGGGCCGTACTGGATATTCAGCACCCCCCTCTTGGCCGACTCCGACCCACGCACCCAGGGACAACGCCGGTCCAGGGCAGCCGGGAGCCGCCTGTCCCTCTGGTACATTCCGGGGCAGCGTGCCCCGGCACGCCCGTCGTCGGCATGCGGGGGCAGCCGGCCCCCGTGGCGCACATGTCCGGGGCCCGACTGGCGCTGCAGCACCCCGGGGGACAGCGTGCCCCCCGGCAGGGCCGCCTGTCCTCCAGGCGCCCGCTGTCCCTCTCCTCCTCGCTCGCGTTCGGGCCGTGCTGGGGGAGAACTCGAGAGTCATTGGAGCGCAGGTGGGTCGGCGTCACCCCACCATGCTGACTTCATGTGTGCGTGGCCCCTCCAGGGGCGACGCGCGCACCGAGAGGTCTGGTAGTATGTGCGTCGTGGCGGGCGGTGTTTGGCCACACCGCTCGGGAAACGATGTACTACAAGATGGGTATACCATATGTTCGGGTCGGACGCGCGCCTCCAAGGAGGACAGATGGTACTAGTATATTCTGCGCGTCCCAGCCCAGCAGCGGGAGAAAGCGAAAGTCACTCGAACACAGATGGCAGCTCCTTGATTTTTGCCTCTCGAGGCCCTCTTTGGGGTCCTCTCGGAGGGGCCCTCTTTCGGGTATAGCCAGGACCCTGGGTAAGGGGACCCGGTTAGTGGTAGGGCCTTGGGGCACCTCAATTGGCCAGATTCACTAAACCAGGTTTGCCGAAACTGGTGTTTTTCGGGTGACGGCAGTTCCTGTTAGTGGAAATGGGACGGGGGGGCGCCCCCGGTACAAATCACCAAACCAGGTTCCACTAAACCCAGTTCTACCAACGCCCGACTCTTGTGGTGCCTTTGGGCGGTCTCTGCCCGACTTGAGGCTATCTAGGATGTTCTGGAGGCCTCTCCTGCGCGCTGGAGCCCTTCTGGGGTCACCTTCTGAGGCATCTTTGGAAATCTTTGCCGCCGCGGAGGGTGGATCTGGAGGCTCCAAGGGCCCTGGAGGTGCGTTAGCGAGCTCGTAGGGGTCCCCACCCCCAACCCCCTCGTATTTCGGACCCTGGGGAGGGGAAATGGGGAGGGTAACAGCCACATCATGGGCCTCTTCCCCCCCAGCACCTGGGGGCCGGCGGATTTGAAAAAGTTGTCCGAAAGGGTTTTGCGCCCGCCCGCCTGATCAGGATGGCACGCCTGCTACGCCAAATCCTCGACCGATAACAGGGTGTGGAGGTTTCAGGAGGCTTGGAAGGGGAGCCCAGATCCAGTGCAATTTGCGAGAGATCGGCGTCCTGGGAGCGCGGAGCCAGCATCTTGAGATCGTGGCGCTCGAAGTGCGACCCAGCTCAATTTGCAAGGGACCCTTGCCCTGAGAGCACGGCTCCAGTGTGATTTGCAAGGGCCGTTCGGACCGACATCAACTCAGGAGGGATCGTGGCTGCGGGAGTGCGGACGCAGCGA